ATCCACGTCTAACTTTATTAAGCAGGAATTCGGCAAATTCAATTATCCAAAGTGCCTGTATACCATAAATAAGCAACATCGCTGTGTCGGCGAGACTTGTGTTTGAAATATGAAGGCAGTTTACAACAGAACGTGTTAACAATTAAGTCTAATTAAATACAAGCATTAAATTAGTCTCTAATTATAATATAGCTCACGTTTCAAAGAACGGTTTTGCAATTTTCTTTCCCAGCTGTGATGTGCTCTTTTGTATTACCGTAGAGAATAATCCAAATCTACGTACATTTGTGACGCAATGCATTAGAATTGTTTCCCATTGTCAGCGATGTCTAATTTTAACTCGAGTGTCTTCAGGAGAAGATTGGAAATTGGTTTGATTGCTTACAGCAGTTGATTTTTTATGTATACAATTCGCTTATTGCTATTGAACTTCTATTTATTGATGTTAATTGTTTCTCGGCACTTGTGATATCGGCTCGTTAACTCAGACATAACGAACTTATTGTTATGACAAGCGCTCGCGAAACCTTAACGAATCATCCGTCCTACTAAAGAGTAATTTGTATCCAATATAATATTTATGTATTTTTATAATCTGTTTTTTTTAGTTATATACTTTTTAAGTTTCGTTATTTATCATTTCTGAACGTTACATAAATTTTTACAACAGATTTTTACGAGATATTTTAAATTACAACTTAACATTTTGAAACCGCCATAACTTGATATATCGTGGGTTTCTGTGAATAAAATCCAACGTTAAAAGTGTGTGTTATATCTGTTTTGTCAAAGATAACAACAGGGATTTTGGTCTTTAAAACCAAAGGAAAGAAGTAGAAAAAGACATAACATTCCACACTTTTACATATATCAGTATGATGTTTATTTGTAGTTTAACTTACTTGTGAATTCCCACTGACGCTTCATTTGTTTTAAAACATATTGGAAGCTATATATTTGCAGATTGAAAGAATTAATTATATGTCTTATAAAATAGAAATAGATAATTACTGTTGTTAAGAGAAGTAAATACCTAGCACGTCCACACCTAACTAATAAATAAATAATATCTCTGGGCGCAGACATTTGACGAGGGTGTCGGATTAACAAAACGTTTAATTCAGCGCAGGTTTAATATTTAAAATTCTCGACCTTTGTAAAACGATGATAAATTGCATTGTTTGTCGTAAGTTAAATTATTATGCTTTCATTAAAATATAGTATTCATGTTTTGTTGTGTAGTTATTTTTAAACTTCATAATATCATTTTCTTTTATTAAATACTGACGGAGTAGTTTTTTACAAACAATTGATTATTAAATTAGCTTTGGCCAGTATTTTTTGTTAAGTGATTCTTTACTCGACTGTCAATCTTACTTCTCACTATCTTACTAATACTATAAATGAAAATTTTTGAATGGATGCATGGATGGATGTTAGAACGTATCTACAGGACTGCTTCATTGAATCAGAAATTTGGCATAGATATGGAACATAGCCTAGAAGTACGCATAGACTACTGATTTAGTTTTTATTCAATTCTGTATGGATGGTGTCGCAGGCGACAATTATTGTCATATAGTCTAACAAGTACAAAAAGAATATATTAAACTGATATATAAACACAGCTAAACACTCACGTATATTCGTCCGGTGGAGGCACCGACTAGTTTCGAGCCCGTGACTCGAACGCGGCCCGTTGCTCACGGTGTGTGAGCGACGGGCCGCGTCCGCGAAATAATACCCGTACCACTCATCCTTATGAAGGGCCCCCGATGGGCTCGAAACTAGTCGGTGCCGCCACCGGACGAATATACGTGAGTGTTTAGCCGTGTTTATATATCAGTTTAGTATAATGTCTCACGAAAGTTTGAATAATTTAATAAGAATATATTAAGTATATTAATAAGGGATTGTAGTCGTATTTAAGGCTTTTTCAAATTATATCTGTGAAAATTATCATATTTATTGTCACTGCATAGTTACCTAATATTGCATACAAACAGTGGAACTAGAACGAGGAGTCCAGCCGTTGCCGTCCTATTGCATATAACTTTAACGCCCGAACTCTCCAGAGCATAATATACTTAAACTCTGTGGACATTTACAATTCCAGTTTACTGCACTAACTGGCTCGATATAACTTTCTTGTTTACACAAATCGAAACAGACAGATTGCATGAATACAATATATATTTGTGAAATATAATAATTATTATTAAAAGGTTATTATTTCATTTGCCTCTATTAGATAAATAATCTTAAAGAAAATTAAGCTTTTTTAGTTTCGAGTAACAGTTTTAACAACAAACCATATGAAGCACTATTAATTAGTTAATTGACTCAGTGTTATATCATTATTAGCTGCCGCCTGCGACTCCGTTCGCGTGGAATAAAGCCTACGGTAGATCGCAGGCTTTATTCCATCTGTGCCAAATTTCATCATGATCTATTTAGCCATTCTAGAGATAGCTTCTAACAAACATTCAAACATTCGTCCGGTGGCGGCACCGACTAGTTTCGAGCCCATCGGAGGACCTTCACCAGGGTGAGTGGGACTGGTATTATTTCGCGGACGCGGCCCTCAGCTCACGAAATGTTGAATATTTTAATCCAAACATCCATTCAAACACTGCCATTTATAATATTAGTAAGATAGAGCCACAATTCTAGAGAAGAGGCAGAATTACTCTCGTGAACAATTTATGCAATGAAAGGCAACATTATGCCTAATAAAACATTTATAGCTTACGTTTAGTAGAATTTATGACTGCATCTGAATATAATATTAAATTGGACTCTACATTTCGCGGTTGATAGTTCAATTAGCAACATAACTGATAATTAAATGTACGCAATACAATGTTAATTAACTACAGGCAATAATGCCTTATGTGTTTGCTCTTCTCTTTCATGTGTTTATTTATCATCATTTAATTTAATCTAAATATTATGCTGTTCAATCCTTTGTTGGCTGATCATAAAAATTACTATATTTCAGTATTAATTCATTGTATTTCTTTGCCAGCCATGTCTTACGACATCGAAACTTGGCTCCTCAATTTGGGTAATATTAGGCGACTTAAAGTCACTCAAAGGGCAATAAAGAGGGCTATGATGATTTCTTTGTCTTCTTTTGTTTTATTTCTTTCATTTCAAATAAAATTATGCACAAAACAACGCCATATTGTATCGTCGTAGCTCACAAATCGAAAAAAATTGTAAGGTCAAGAAAAATAAATTAAAAAAAAATAGTTATTGTCAACTCGAGTGTCCGAGTTCTATAAATAATATTTACGCAAATAATGTTATACCTTTAGTTTCAGATACATGGTTGTAAATGAACATTCCGTCAGAAAAAGAATGTAGCAAAGGGCCATTAGCTTTGTTTTGTTCGCGTGTAAACCCCGCTCAGAGGGTCGGTACAGACGCTCAGTTCTGACAGCTATAACTGAACAGCCGAACTGTTAAAACTGAACGTTTGTACAGTTATAACAAATAGTAAATCGCATCAATATGAAGTCTTTAGCGAGTACTCGGCAACGTTTCTTCAGGAACATCGACATCCTTATTTCGATCACGTAATAAATCCTTGCTTTATTTATTCTCTCCGGCTCTATCCCTTTTGTTCCCTTGTTGTGACTTTATAACTTTATCTTTGTACATATATTTATGAGGGTTTTATTTTGTAATTTCGATCACAACATTTTTGATTTAACGATTTTTGTTGAACGATAGTCTCGGTTATGTTTCTCGCGGGTGTTATACTTTTATGTATTTGGGTACTATAAGGGAATCTGTCGGTGTTTCACATTAATAGCTACAGTTGTTTAAATGTTTTGTACACATGGATATCGTAACGCATTAATATGTACGAAAAAAGTGTGTGTGTGTGTGTCAGTGATACACGGTTAATTACATTTTATTATTATCAGATGGTTTGCGCAACTCACTGCTACCTGTAAGTGGAACACCGCGGATTTCCGCGACTGTACATATGTCAATTCCATTGTGATCAAAATAAAGACTAAACGACGATATATAGATCGAGATTTTTTCATTCTTATCAATGTTTTTGTATCTTACACTGTTATTTTATGTTAAGTAGGTATACTATAAAAACATGTAACATTCAAAACACAGTAAGTACGCATTATAATTTTGTACCCTTCTCTGTTGTACTCGGCTCCGAAATTTTTTTACGCAGTTTAATATTCTACACACACTTCTTATTATTATTGTCTCGCAAAAAATATCCTTGTTTATTTTTTATTCTCATGTCAAAATTTTTAATTTTTCAATTTTCAATTATTCTTTCGTAAATTTTTTTATAATGTGAATAATTTGCAACTGGGTTTTATAATAAGATACATATTATAAACGGGGCCTAGCCGTTTCGGTCATTACCCATAACAAACGCGGACTTGTGAACAGACAAACAGAAGTCAAAAATTTAAAAAATTGCTTTTTCGTTACAAACATCATTTTTTCGAAATATATTTTTTGATATTACATATAGACATTCCAATTTTGTTAAATGTGTCGACATTAAAAAAAAACATTTTTTTAATTCAGTCAGTAAAAACTTAAAAAAATGATCGATTAAAAACATCTTAAGCTAGATGTCTACTTAATCCGCTTTTTGGTTGTATTCTTTTTTTATCAATTTTGTCTCACCTTAGATAGACCATTTGACAATTTCTATTGAAAGAACAATTGCTTCTTTTGTAGTTTTTTATCATAATGATATCTTTTTATTATAAATAGAAACAATAAAAAAGTTTTTTGCGAAATTAAAAGGCAGTATGACCGAGGCCGGCTCTGTTGTGTCGCAGTTCAGCGAGTGACTTATGTTTCAATGTACATTGCTATCGACAAATACATTATCAACTTCAAGTCATTGATACAATAAATTAAGTTAATGGAAATAAGGAAAATTAAAATAATTTATTTCCAACAATAATATAAAAATAACTATTTCCAATCTGTTGGAAACAGAACAATATTCGATATTCTAAGACGTAGACGTAAATAAGTCAAGATAAGGTATCGTTTTTACGATAGTTTTTAGGACTTTTTTTTAACATCATTAGATCTAATTAAATATTGCAATGGTTTGTTGTGAAGGTTGGCCTTTGAGTGTTAATTCTTAGACATTGATTTGTGTTTACAAATGAAGGAAGATTGCAAAGATTGATCGATTTCGAATTAACTACCTTTCTTTGCTTCATGAAACAGCAACATTTTTAAATGTTTTTATACGCTTTTTGTTTTATTATTTCAGATGCTACTGCTTCTCACCGCTATAGGACTGGCAGTGCTATGGCTGTACACAAAATGGCAAAAAACTAAAAAGTATTGGGCGGACAGAAACGTGCCTTATATACCCCCACATCCTCTACTTGGAAACTTAACTTTCCTTTTCAAGTTAAATCCGGTACTAAGCTTTAACCTTAACCTGAGTGTTACTTTAAATATCTTAGAACTATGTTAAATAATTAAGCTGCTATATGCAAAAAGACTTATCAAATCCTATTAGTAGGTACTTTTGGAGATTTGCGCTTTCAAACAAAAAAAAACTCTTATACTTCTGTCTTTTTATTCTTAAATAACACAATAGTTTATAGATTTTTAATATATGGATGAAAAAAATATTGACGAATCTAAATTATTGCTGATCTTGTCCAGGGCATATTCATGAGGAACATTTACAATCCCGAGCAGCCCTACTTGGGCTTGTGGTGGTTCTGGCGGCCGGTGCTGTTTGTTAACTCGCCAGAGCTCGCGCGTCGCGTCCTCGTCAAGGATTGCGCTGTCTTCAAGGACAGATTCCTGAATTCAGGGAAAAAGGATCCCATTGGAGGACTTAATTTGTTCCTTGTTAACGTAAGTTCATTCGATATTTTCCTTACCTTTATCATCTTTAATAATATGGAAGCTACCTTGATCTGCACATCTGTTTAATGAAGAATTTATGAATTGCAGGATCCGCTTTGGTCTTCAGTTAGAAAGCGTGTGTCGCCATCATTCACCGGTGCTAAACTGCGGCTCTTACACAAGCACTTCGTAGCCAAATCCCGGGAACTTATTAAAAGAATCAAAATTGAAATGGAGAGCAATCATTGTGTAAACCTTAGGGTAAGCGTTATAATTATTGTTACAAAATGATTTTTATCAGTTTAAAATTTTAAATATAATACAACGCCATCTATAGTTTATAATAGATGACATTTTATTTTCAGATGATGTTCACCGACTTCACGACTGACGTGGTCGGTGTGACGGCACTGGGCGTGCGCGGCGACGCCACGCTGACGGGACAGAGCCCCTTGCGTGACGTCACCAGGGACTTTATGAAGTTCAACTATCTCAGGAGCCTCGCTTGGACTTGTATCTTCTTTTACCCGGAATTAGTTGACGTTTTCGGGTAAATCTGATTTTAAAAAAGAGAAATTAATGTTGGCTTTAATTAGTATTTTGTCCGCGTGTGCTAATCTTACATATAAAACCAGAACCGTTACGTTTCAGGTTCTCATTTTTCCCGAAAAGTGCAACGAATTTCTTTAGAAAACTCTTCAAACAAATCGTTAAGGAACGAGGTGGATATGACGTTGGTATCGGACAAAATAAAGACTTGCTCGATGTATTGAGAAGAATTAAACAAGATTGTGATAAGAATAATGAAGGTGAGTAATGAACAACAAATTTTGATGCTAGGAACACCTCTCGTACCGACATATTGACGTAGATACAAATATACGGAAATTTAGCTATTGAATAACGAACAAATCGTATGTGATCCAGCACAAAGCCGCGAAAGCTATTCTAAGCCGACGTGATGCAAACGAAGCAAAAACGAAACATAAAATTTGCTCGATATTAGATTCTGTTTGTTGAAAGTTTCGCTGGAACGAACCATATCCACGCTATTTTAATATCAAAATTCGCTTAGGTAACGGTCGCTAACGGCTGACCGTGTTATGAAACCTTTTTTCGAAGAAGCATTGAAGTTAATGATAATTTTTTGTAGAAATGCCTGAAGATTTATTGATAGCTCAAGCGGCGGCGATGTTACAAGGCGGCTTCGACACGACGGGCACCGCGCTAACGTTCTGCACATACGAACTTGCACATAGCCCACACTGGCAGGTATTCATACCAACTTACCTTTACTGGTTTCCTAACTAATGGTATAATCAATGAAAAATTCTTTAAAATGTTTTAGGAAATAATTTACAATGAACTTCTTGAATTTAGAGATAAAATGATTAATGGAGACGTGGATGCGGAAGTCTTTCAAGAAATGCCATATCTTAACGGAGCTTTGAAAGGTAAGTACAAAAGTTTTTAACAAGAATGATTAAACAGCATTAAAAATAATACTAAACATGAAACAACTAAACTTTAAATGAATTACAAAAATCTTTGCTGTGGTTTTAATCTGTTGGTTTTTATAAATATTTCATACCGTTCTTTTTAGAAACTTTAAGAAAGTACATGTCGATGGGCTGGATAGACAGAGTAGCATCAACAGACTATCAGATTGATGAGAATCTCACAATAAAAGCGGGAACCCCTGTCTACGTGAACGCCTGCGGAATACACTACGATCCACAATATTACCCGGACCCAGAGAAATTCGATCCTGAGAGATTTTTACCTGAAAATGAGAAAAACCTCAAGCCTTTTACGTACATGCCTTTTGGTGAAGGTCCGAGATTTTGTTTAGGTAATATTTGCAGTTTTTGTAATTTTTTTACAAATACCTTGCGTAAGAAAATAGTTCTAATATAAAGATACAAAATATTTTTGCAGGCAAACGATTTGGAACACAGAACGCTACCTGCGCCCTTGCCCATATTATTCTGAACTATAAAATCGTGGCCAAACCAAATTCACCTCTACCTCAGGAAGTTAAAATTGAAAAGAAAAGTTTCTTTTACGTGCCAGGTGAAAATCTCTACGTCAATTTTGTACCGCGAGATGACTAAATCAAATATGTTGTTTTCTTTTGATTTGCTTAATATTATTGTTTAACTAATAATCTTATTGTCTTCTAGTAGGACAATACATTTAAGATAACTCAGTCGACTGTGGTTAATGTAAAATTCAACACTTAAATAATTTTTAAGTACCAAAATGAATAAGAAATATTTTATTACAATTGTAAATCGCTTCAAAGTTTGTGAAGAGTTAGGATTATTGTTATGTGAATGATTATTGCGGTGCCGGTGGCGGCGGGCTAGAGGGCGCTGTGGAGCGCTGTGGAGCGCTGCCAGCCGACGACGCGCGACGTAATTGGCATTACATTTGGAAGTTTGTGTGAGTTGGGGCAAGTTTGTATGGAATTAGTCGTTGCGAGTGAATCCGTCTCGTGTGTCAGTCGTATTACACTAATGAAATTATTCAGCTGTGCTATAAATAAGATTAACTTTATACTAATCACATTAAAGTTCATATAAAACAGTTTTTCTACTGACTCAATACGTTCATTCTCTTTATATTTATCACTAGAATAGTAATACCAGTCGGTAGTTGGTTCAACCTTGAGGTCGCATTGCCTAAGTATTCATGAAGACATTTTGTGATTTCTAATTATTTAGAAAGAGGTAGTGAGATTGCGATATATATTTAAATGAAACAAAATGTAACAAAGTTTCGATAATAAAAGCGTAATTAATAATTCTGTCATCATCAACAATCACGAATAACATATTATAATAATAAAGCACAAAAAATAAACATAATAAATTAAATTAATACTATAGTTTAATATTTTAGAAGCTAAATGGGTCGTTCAACTTTACAGTTCATGTTTAAACAATATAAAATCTTCGTCAGAATATAAAAAGAGATGTTTATTTTCGTTTATAATTTAACTTAGAAAACAAATTTTATTATATTATTTTCATCATTGAGAATGGCCGGAGGATATAATAATAAATCTTGCTAGAAATTACACAACGTACGTAATACATTTTGTTTGTAAACTTCGAAATAATAAATCTCTCTATAATTTTCTCTATCAAATATTCGGAAAATAAAAAACTTTTAATATTTATATTTTTTACAAAGTAAATTTATTTATGAGTTACATGAGTCTGTCCAGACTTCGCACGTCACCTTTGTCATTCAGAGTTAATGTGGCATTCTAATGTAGAAAGAAATTTCGAAATCGGTCCACTAATACTTGAGTTTATTAGTTACAAATAAGGGAAAATACAATTATTTCTTTTTTATAATATTAAAATAGGACAAGAGACTAATATTACAAGAGTTCAGGAACTTAATATTGTGTCACATAATATAATATTTTCAGTTTGTTTTACTTTAATCCATTTTATTATCCGAATGGTTGAACAATGTTTAAAAAAAGTTAATGAAAAGCAACTTTTCATACGAAGTTTAATATTCTCTTTGACTGGTAGTTTGTATAAACATCAAAATAAATTGTAGAAGAGATTCAAAGAAATTTAAACATACTAGTAGAGCTGGGAGCGAGTCGAAATATTTACTCAACAACATCCAGCGTACAAAGTTAATGTTTATGCCACCACAGGAATGTACCAACAAAACTAAAAACTAAATCGTAAACTACGCTCCGGGAATTCTCTGTAGAATTCTTTATATATGAACTTAAGTATCTACGGTTACTTTTGATTTAATTTCATCTTTGTAATTCTGTACAAGGTAAAAATACTGTGATCGAAAACTGATTTGCTTAACCTAAGAACAATAAAAGGTTCGCAAATTGAACAAAGAAAAGCATTTATCGTTTAAAAACCATTTTTGAAACAAAGAGTGGGTTCTGAATGGACGAATCATTTTCGTGTCATTAGACAGACTGTGTGCCGTGTGATATCACCCAGTGAACTAAAGATTCTTTCAAATAGAAATTTTAATGATCACTATAAAATCCTTTGTAATAGTTAACTAGATTTCTTTGGAGATTTTCATATAAAAATGGTAATTTCTGTAACGACATTTTCTAAATGTGGATTTAAAAATTCGACTTAGTTAAAAGTTCATTAGTGGGTCTGTCAGCCGGACATAAAATATGGAACTTGCTTACGTAAGGTTTTCATTTAACTTTGTGTTGTCAGAAATGTAATAAGTACTTAAATACTAAATATTTATTTTGCATTTGGATATTTTAATAAAAAACTTATTTTATAATAACTGACCAAGAAATTTCTCTAATAATGTTTAGGTTTGAAGACCATTTAGAGTTCATGATGATAAATATCTTTATTATTTAACGGAGCTACACTTTCAAGATATCGTAAAATATTGAATTATATTTTGTAAAGATACGATTACACTACGACAATATACACACACGGAACACTCTGTATGAATTACAAACGTCTTTGCAAAATTTATTGCGACACAATAATTAGTATTGCGTCAGTTGCTGTGTAGAAATTCGTATAAGTATAAACAGTACAGATATTTATGTCGGTGACTCAGGGATTAAGCACTTGACTTGCAATCTGCAGGTCCTGGGTTCAAATCCCGTCATAAACCAATATGAAAGAAAACATCGTAATGCAACCTGCACATATCTGAAAAGAGATTCAAATATATGTGGAAATCAACCCAAATAGGGCCACCTAAGTTAGGGTAGGCTCCGAGCCCTTTGAGGGAGACTTATTAGACCTGTAATGATGATGATGACGACGATTTATGTCGGACAATATCGTAATCGCATTGCACTTCAACGCTATGTGTATATCTAGTTTGCTAGTATTTCACAAAGGAAACAACACCGATTTAGTTAAGTTACGTTGGCACGTGGAAGTATACAAGTTGTTGAAGTGGGAACGCTAAGCGATTCCTAGAAACATTCAGCTCGCACTAAGAACTCCTCGTAAATTACTCCAGCTAACATTTATACTCAACAACTCACAAAGCTCGTCTTATGAACGGAAAATTTACTAAATTACAGCCAATCTAACTTTCCTTAAATGGGAAGACAAATTGAATTACGTATCATAAAAAGCTAAAAAAAATGGTTAGAGAATAATTTCATTTCATTTAACAAAGTATTTTTACAATTTCATCTTCAATGACTAGATATTTATTTGTTACTTTGTCCGCGTGACTTCGTATTTTGTTTTATCGTATTTCAAATAGTTATAAGTTAGTATGGAAATTAATTTAAGGTTAGATGAGTACATCATAAGCAGATAGTTTGTTAATTTATCAAAGGATTTTAGTTAATTTTGAAAGTAATAATAATTAGGTAAATAAAGGTAACTTCTTTCTGCTCATGAACTCAAAGAATAATGAAGTCTGGTAGGCAATAACTTATACTATGTACGAGTATTTAAATTGGTAAATAGTGTAAATCTTTGTATTGCGAAGACTTTTTATAGTTAGCTTAATTTAGATGAAATTTGTATACAGGCAAGAGCTTTTAAATTATTATATTATATTAATAATTGCATGAAACCTTAAATTGTTCGTTGCGGCTAATAGAAATGGTTATTACCCAAGACCGTATAGACATAAAAAGTAAGAAAAATGTTTTTTTTTAATATTCTCTTTTCATTATAATAAGTCCTCCCCAGCTTATAAGATTTAGGCTTCGAAGGTTCTCATTTTAAGCTGAAAAATTCTCATCTCCACAATCATAATTTCTTCAAAAATGTAACTACTAATTACTTTTACAAAGTTACGTTGTAAAGTGTCGGAGCTTCGAATACTTTTCAGGGGCGAGTGTCGTCGTCGGGGTGAATATTAAATGACCGACTTAATTGAGTTTTTTTTTAAATAATTCTTAGACTACCCTAAAATATTTGAGAAGGTTTATTCAACTAAAAGTCATTACACGGAATTGTTTCTTTTTAAACCTACAACACTAGCTGTCGCCCGGGACTCCGACCGCGCAGAAATAAAAACACTTAAGTTGTGCGTATGTGTTCTTCCAGACTATGTTATAAGTGCCAAATTTCATCGAGATCTGTTCAGCCATTTAGGAGATACTTTCAAACAAATATCCATTCATGTAAACATTCGCATTTATAATATTAAACAATTAAACATTAAACAATAGTTATTTTTAAATAATGAAATAGACGATATAAAAGAGTTTGTTTATGTTAGAACGGACGATTTCAAGAAATTTTAATTGAGGAAGCAACAGTTTACCGGAAACATTTTAACTTTAGCCAGAATCTTTCAAATATTTCCGGACCTTTTAAGTTACAAGTAAATATTTTTATAACAAAATGGAATCCTTAAAGCCGATTAAATTGTTTCGTTTTAATTTCAAAATGTGTACTAAAAAGAAAAATGCCTTTTTATTAACATAATTTCGAAGTCAAAATAAATAAAAAAATATTATATTAAAATTATAATGTGATTTTGAAAATAATTTTATTCATAGTACACAAAAAAACTACAAACATAAAAAAAAGTATCGCGGAACAATTGTATAGGAGATTCTGTTAACATTTGTATCCGCGGGGAGAGTTAGCAGATTATTTGCTTTGTATGCTGAGCGCACACACAAAATGTAAAATAGCCGGGATAAAATACATTTCCTTGCATCGCTTCACAAAGGGTTCTCTGACAATGAATTTACTTATAAATTTATCATACGTGTTCTCCAAATGAACAACAACATTTATATATCTAATTATACTAATTTAATATCTTACTCAAAGACTTTAAATAACCACTAAGTGCGGACCTCAGTGTAGACTTAGTATGCGAATTGTGTTTAAGATTATACATACGTATTACAACTATACTGACTATACTTTTAATATTCTTTCAAGAGATAATGTTTCAAAAATGTTCTTCTTGAAGTTTGAACACATAACATTGAATTATTTTGCTTTGAGTAAACGTCACGGGAGTAACATAGTATACAGCATATTTTCTATTCGAGTTTGTCTAACTCTGTTAAGGGTTTATATCTTAAATTATCCAATTCATACTCCACTTAACACATATAGTGAATAGAAATTCAATGTACCGGTATATAACACCGGACTATGAATAAAAT